TTCCTTGTTATGCCTTTTGGCTTGACTAATGCGCCAGCGGCATTCATGGACTTGATGAACCGCGTCTTTCACGATTACTTGGACCAGTTTGTGGTAGTTTTCGTAGATGACATTCTTGTGTACTCACGGACTCGGGAAGATCACGAGGTCCATTTGAGTATTGTTTTACAGATTTTGCGGGAGCACCGATTGTATGCCAAATACGAGAAATGTGAGTTTTGGCTGCAGGAGGTGAAGTTTTTGGGGCATGTTGTTTCAGAAGGTGGAGTATCAGTTGATCCATCAAAGGTTGAAGCAGTTTTGACTTGGGAGCGACCCAAGAATGTGTTTGAGATCCGTAGTTTCCTTGGTTTAGCGGGTTACTATCGGAGATTTGTGAAGGATTTCTCCCGTTTGGCAGCTCCTATGACCCGTTTGACCCGGAAAGGGGTCAAGTTTGTCTGGAATGAGGCCTGTGATTCATCTTTTCAGGAGTTGAAGACGAGATTGACTACAGCTCCAGTGTTGGTGATACCTGAGCGTGGCTTGGGTTATGTGATTTATTGTGATGCTTCACGTGACGGGTTGGGATGTGTGTTGATGCAGGATGGTAGAGTAGTGGCTTATGGGTCTCGACAGTTGAAGACTCACGAGCTTAACTACCCTACTCATGATCTGGAGTTAGCGGCAGTTGTGTTTGCCTTGAAGTGTTGGAGACACTATTTGTATGGTGAGAGATTCGAGGTATTTTCAGATCACAAAAGTCTCAACTACCTTTTCTCCCAAAAGGACTTGAACAACAGACAGAGGCGATGGGTCGAATTCTTGGCGGACTACAATTTTGACTTGCAGTATCATCCAGGCAAGGCGAATGTGGTAGCGGATGCCTTAAGCCGGAAATCTCGTGGAACTTTGGCCAGTTTAGCTATTCGGAAGTGGAAGATGCTTGAAGACCTGGCAGAGATGGGATTGTAGTGTTTTGATGATGATGGTTGCAGTGAGTCGGCATTCTTATTTAGTCTTGTGGCTCAGCCTACTCTTGTTGTACGAGTGATTGAGTCACAGAGACAGGACTCGGACTTAGATGCCATCCACGCTTTGATCTCTAGTGGTGAGACAGTGAAAGATTGGGCCTTGCATGCAGATGGGGGTCTACGGTTCAGGGGTTTGTTGGTGGTTCTCACATGTTGTCGTGAGGACGTCCTACGAGAGTTTCACACTTCCCGCTTTGCAGTTCATCCAGGTGGTACTAAAATGTATCACAATTTGAGACGTCAGTATTGGTGGAGCGGGATGAAGAATGATGTTGCACAGTTTGTGGCTAGATGCCTTACCTGTCAGCAGGTGAAGGTCGAGCATCAGAGGCCAGCAGGTTTGTTGCAACCATTACCTGTAGCGCAATGGAAATGGGAGCATATTGCTATGGATTTTGTGACAGGTTTTCCAAGGTCAAGAAGGGGCAATGAGGCCGTATGGGTCATCATTGACAGATTGACCAAGACGGCTCACTTTTTGCCTATTAAGGCAACAGATGATGCAGAGAAGCTTGTTGTTCTTTATGTGAAGGAGATTGTAAGGTTGCATGGAGTTCTTGTAACCATTGTGTCAGATAGGGATGCTAAGTTCACTTCGAAGTTCTGGGAAGGACTTCAAGTAGCATTTGGTTCAGCGTTGCATCTTAGTACGGCATTCTATCCACAGACGGATGGTCAGTCGGAGCGTACTATCCAGATTTTGGAGGATATGCTTCGGGCATGTGTGCTTGACTTGGGTGGTAGTTGGGAGGATCACCTTCCACTTATTGAGTTTGCCTACAACAATAGTTATCAAGCGAGTATCCAGATGGCTCCATTTGAGGCGTTGTATGGTAGACCTTGTAGGTCTCTTGTTTGTTAGACTGAGGTAGGTGAGACAGCCGCCTTAGGACCCGACATTGTACTCGAGACTACTGAGAAGATTAAGTTAATAAGACAGAGGTTACTTACAGCTCAGAGCCGACAAAAGAGCTATGTGGATAAGCGGAGACGACCGTTATCCTTTGAGGTGGGAGACCACGTTTTTCTATGGGTTTTTCCACTGAAGGGATTGATGAGATTCGGAAAAAGTGGCAAGTTGTCGCCACGATTTATTGGACCGTTTGAGATTTTGGACCGAGTAGGAGAGGTTGCCTACAGGCTTGCTTTGCCACCACAGTTGGATAGGGTCCACAATGTTTTCCATGTATCGATGTTACGGAAGTAAGAACCGGATCCATCTCACATTTTGAGTTGGGTAGATGTGGACATTGATGAGGATGTTTCCTACGAGGAAGGACCAGTTCAGATTCTTGACACACAACAGAAGGTGTTGAGGAACAAGACGATACCAATGGTGAAAGTCCTTTGGAGACACCACGGAGTCAAGGAAGCTACTTGGGAGCTCGAACAGGAGGTTCGGTCCAAGTACCCAGCGTTGTTTTCTTCCTCAGGTATGTCTTGATTTCGGGGACGAAATCCTTTTAAGTTGGGGAGAATGTAATGTCTGTGTATTTATGTGCATAGGTGTATATATAATATGTGTATTATGTTGTGTTATGGCTCAAATTTAAGCAAAAAGTTAAAGGAAAAAGAAAATAAAAGGTGGTGGGACCTACCATTAAACCAACTAAGGGCCAAGAGACCACAAATGGTCTCATTTCTCTCATTCTCTCCCGTGCACCTCTCTCTTCCCCTCTTCCTCTCTGTTTTTCTTTTCATTTTGATTTCCAAAACTTTGAAGCAAGATCTTGATCTCATTTCTTATCGAAATTGAGTGCCGTTTGAGACAAAACGAAGCTCGTGTCAAGCTCTACACATCCATACAAGCGATTTCAGATTTAGTGCACTCCTTGGAGTTCGAATCTTAGGACCCATTTCTAGGGTTTGTGAAGAAAATTGGGGTTTTTGCTCAATTAGAGGTAAAGGTGTCTAATTCACACTTTTCTTGTACCTTAGTGAGTTATTCCTCTAGAATTTTGGCCAAACATGCTTGATTTAAGGTTGATTGCTTTAAAAATGATTTAATGGTGCATATAAAGATTTTATATATGTGTGTTTGTTGACTTATGTGATAAGCATGCTTAGTTTAGATGGATTACTCCTTAAATGATTTAATTGTGTATGTGAAACATGTATCTATGTGTATTTGTTGGATTGTATGGAAATTGTGATAAATGGTTGATTTATCATGCTTATTATAATGCTAAATATTTAGTTGATTGTTGTGAGCATGTGTGGTAAATTGTGGTATTAAATTCCCCATTTTATGATATTGTCACGGCATGACAAATGTTAGAAATCCCTTATATTACAACATTGAAAGTATGTGGCATTCATGAATTCATCATTGGGGATTGCACGAATGGAAATGACTTTTGAAAAATGAAAGAATGGGGATTTTCGGGAAAGCTTTGTTGAAAAAGTTTTTTTTTGAGAAACCCGGTCGCCGCGGGGGTACCAAAGGACCGGAGGTTAATATAGCCTAGAGGGGACTAGGGAGTCGCCCTAGCGTAGTTGAGCTAGCTGGGCCCCATAATGACGCCGCGGGGTTACCAAGGGTCAGGGACACTAGCCAATCCTCCTCTCGTGTCGCTGCGGGGTCACCAAAGGGCGGGTTATATTAACAGTTTGAAAAGTATGGTTGTTTTCTGAGAAATGGGGAGTGACACGCATATCATAGCATTCATGACATTTTACATATGATTGTTTGGAATTGGAATTTAATATGTGTTTCCCTCATTTTGCATGACCCCTCTTCCTATTGGCCCATGCTTTGTTTGGATTCACGGGGCTACAAGAGGTGCGTCTTAGGCACTCTCTACTGAGCTTTATGCTCACCACATTTTATTTAACATTTTCCAGGAACCGGTAAGGAGGTAGTGGATGCCGATCTTCCACAAGCTTAAGGATGACTTGGAGCTCATTTTGTATCTTTTGTATATCTCCCATTTTTGTAAGGCCCCAAAAGTGTAGTAATGTGTATTTATTTTTTTTTCAAAACCATGGTTAGGTAATATAATTATGTTACTAGATGATATTTTGGATGTGAGTTTGATATCATGTAAACCTTATTGATGCATGGGGAGAGTAATACTAGTTTAAGGTATTATCGAGGTCATTTGATTGTGTATTATCATCTACTATTGCCGTGAATTCGGAATTTGAGCCGTGACAGGTTAAAAATGCAATTAAACAGGTTGTGGTAGGCCTATTTTTAGAGGAGGTTATGCTGATTTTTTTTTTTTTTTTTTTTTGTTTAAAAAGTATTAGTTTTGAGACGTTACACTAAATATGCTGGTGTAAATGTAATTATTCACCGACAGAATTATCTTTCAGTAATCTTCTTGTTCGTCATATACGTAATACTGAATATATTAAAAACAAAGTAGTATATGCATAAATGACTAAAGCTCGTGCCCTTAAGTTTATATTTGGGGACAAGTGCAGGAAACGCTCTTAATGTATATTTCGCGTAACACTCTTATTCTCTATTTGAAAAAATGTGCAAACAACACCTCTATTCTTTTCACATTGTGCGGAAATATCACTCAATAAGAAATTTGACATAAATTAGTACTGTAATACCCATTTTATCTTTTTACTCTTTGGAAAATATCCAAGTACAAACGTGCAAATTTTATGATTAGGGGAGATTAATGTTTCTCAAACCTAAATCAAAGACAGGTTTATGTTATTTAGACAATAAATACGCTACAAGGAGTCCACGGCTATGAAACACTGCCAAATTTGCCTCCCTAGTTATTAGAAGATTACTAAATTTATCCATGATTATCATGATTTAATCAGACTACACATCATAAGTTGATTTGGGTAGATTCTAATCATTTTGATTCATTTTTTCTTCATAAGAGGCAGTAGCAGCTTATATGCAAGTTATACTTAAGAGGTGCGGTCTTACAGGAAGTCTGGTCTCTGATGAGAGAAATATAGCCAAAAGCATATACACTGCCATGACAAACTTAACCAGAACCATTTTACCTTCTTCTACTTACCCACAATCAGTTTGGCTCGGCCATGTCCAGTGTCAATCCTGAACTGTTCTCCCAAGCCAAAATGGGTCATCAGCAACCAAACGAAAGTAATAAGCTCCCCTCCTTTGCTGAGGTGCTGAGCATGGATATTTGCTTTGCAATGACATGCAGCATAGGACAACAATTCCACCCACACTTTGCTCATTATCTCCCACCTCTTCTCCAGATTAATTTCGTTCAGAGCTTTCGCGAGCATACATGCATCAAACAACAGTGATTTGCTTCTATCCCCCTTTACTTCAACTGGTTTGACAACTGTATTTACAGAAAGTAGATTCACACAGACTTTTTTTCGTTCTTCGTTTGGTTCTGATCGTTTTCCTCTAAAACAATTCATTAATTTCTGCACAATAACCTCCCCTGCTGATTTTGATTGCCCCGTCCTGGCATCCTCGCGGATGATCTTCCTGGCATCCTCACAGGTGTCCTGAAACCTGACTTTCCAAATATCTCCCACCGTTGACGACATCATTGTAGGCCGCATGATCAAAAGATACAACATATATTCTGACAAGAGCTTACTAAATTGACGATATTCATCATTGGAGGGATTTTGGTTATTGCGATCAGGGCCATTGAAGTAGCACAGTTCCGTAGCAATATGCCATAACAAAAGGCTTTCATCATATTCAACCTCCTCGCTCACGGTTGATACAATTGAGGCGTGGTAGCAACTGTTCTGCCAGAGAACCCAATCACCTCTCGCTGAAAATATCTCCTTTGCAGTTTTTGAATCCTTCGCTTTCAGACCCTTCGCCCTCAACTCACTGAAAATGAATTTCTTTAGATTATCCTCAACAAGTTTGGTTTCCTTGTATTGCATTTCATCAAAAAATTCCTTGAGCCCGAAAAAATCAGTTGCTTTGTCGAGCCACTTGAACCGTTCCTTCAGACAGTATCTTATCAAGTTGTGCTGTGAGAAAGATTTAGACCACCGGCATCTGTTGTCAAATGAAACTTTCTCACGGATGGCAGAAACAACAGATTTGGCCTTGGAATTGTTGAGTTTCGCTATAGTCCAGTCAGAGAAAAAGAGCTTGAAGTGAGCCAGTAAGTCCAAGCCAACGGCACCAATAAGCAAAGTGTAGGTAACAGCAACGTCAATTCTATGGATTTGGTGGTCTTTCTGAATGGATGCAAATTGTATGAAGGATGCCGCTATCAGAGTAGAACATATGAGACGGAAAAAGAACCCGGACTTGCGATGCACCACTTCCATTTTGGTAAAGAGCACATCATACATGAAATTGAGCTCAACTTCAATCACTCTAAAAGCAACTTCACAAGTCATTTGGAAGAAGAATTTTCGACTAAAATTGCGATTAGTGGTGCTAAGCAAGAGGTCAACCAGTAGTCTCTTAAATTTTTTAAAGAAGTTGTGCCCACGATTCACAACCTCAGTATCTACGAGTGTTGTTAGATCTTGAGTTAATGCTGCTTCCTCTTCCTGTATAGCAGTTCTGAAACCTTTTTCAGGTTCCTTTACTATTTCAATTTCAACCGGAACCCCGGCAGCTTCCTTTGATGAATAAACCTCCATGAGCCGACGATAGTTTACTCCAGCTTCCGGTTTTGGAAGCATTCTGTCCTTGAAATTAGCCAAGCATGCTAGATATAGAGCACGGGACCTCTCAGCATACTTAATAGTTCCAGCAAAGAACAGGACCGTTGGAATCCAGAATTGGTTAGGGAGTGACACCGTGAAGACATAAACAACTGCAACAAGCTGGACGATAAGCCCAAGCAGATGTCGAATCCACAGTTCATTATCTTCCAGAGAGAAGGCAGTGATGTTATCAGGGCCACCAAGGTGTAGCAAAAGGAATGGAGCCCAAAAAGCTGCAAGGTCATCATCTACCCTGAACTTTTTAGAATCATCCCCTTCGCCGTTCAAGATGAGTCCAACAGCAAAGACAGCAACCCAATCGGCAAGCAAATAAGCCGACCAGATGATCATGGTTACAATTATGTTTCCAGTTCGTTTTCGTGATGGTGCAGAGAAAATTAACACTACCTGCAAGAAGAGACTGAAAAGAACAGCACCACGGAGATTCCATACATCCCATACCTTCTTGACCTTGCCTGGAATGATTTTAGCCATTTTACTATTTCTTTTTGGTCTCTTTCTTAATTTGCTCCTGGAAAGCTCCTGATTAGTTTATGAGGAACAAAGTGTGACAAAATATATCATTCTAAATGGACAATATATCTGAAATATATGTACAAGCTAGAAAGACAAATCTTGATTGGAAGGAAAATAGGTGTAAAATGCTGCAGTTTAGACTAGATCGAGCACCAGAATCCTTAGTCAATTATAAAGTGCAAAAAAAATATTTAACCAAAATTTTATTTTAGGTTCTAATTCCTTTTTAATTTTTTTAAAAATTGAACTTTAAGAAAAGTTTGAAAATTATACATCATTAAAGTGATGTTGTTATAATAATAATAAAAATTCTCTTAATATAAATTTAAGAAAATATAGTTTTACTTTAAAATTAGTTTTATTTTTAGGTTTTCTTTAAACACATAAAAAATTTAAGAAAATTTTAAAAATTATTTCAAAGTATTTTCATTTTCTTATAGGCTCACCGTTAAAAAAAATAAAATATTTTTAACAACAATATGCCAAATGAATTATTTGTATTAATATTAATTTTGATTTAATGTTAAGAGGTACCATTTTATTAAATTTATATTAAGGGGCAGTTTAGTTACTATAACATTACTTTGCAACAATTTGGATGGTTAGGGAGGTTTTATGTCAAGGAGGTTTCTTACCAAAAATTAAAAGTTTATGAGGTTTTATGCAATTTACCCTTTTATATATTATTTTTCATGAGAAAATTAGATTTTGGTAAACCAAATTCAAACAAAATTGCTATATAATAGTCACCAATTTTAAAACTTAATTGCTAGTAAGTAATCATTTGATAATTTATTACTTAAATATCCTTTTTGTAATACATTATTTTTTAATTGAACAAATTTATCTTACATATTAAACACAATTAAACATATTAAATTGTTAATTAAATTATTACTACACTTGTTTATCAAAATAATAAACTAAGATGTTTATTAGGAAAATATGATGACTACTTTATTACATGAGTAGTTATATAATATACAATACACAAATATAGGTATAATTCCATGACATGGCTTTCCCTGTATTTGTTCATCGATTTTCTTCATCTCACAGGGTAATCAGTTCCAGTTCCGGCCGGCTTTGGCCTTTGTCTTCTCCAACTCCACCGCAGCAGCTAGCGCTCTCTCCGGGCGGGACCAATTCATCTTTTTCTCTTTTTCTCTATCTTCTTAAAAAACAATTCAATTTTTGTCTATCAAAGCTCCTCTGTTTTCAATTCATTCCTCAAAACCAATTCTGGTACAAGAAACCAATTAAATTTGTGTCCCTTTCCAACGCATCCCTCAGAACCAATTCTTATGATAAGGGCGGCGACGGACTAAACTTCGAGCAAGGAGTCCGACGACTGCAAGGAAGAACCGCACCGGAGATCGGTGGCTCCAAACTCCAAACGAGTAAAATTCTCTTAAATACAACTTATACACAAATTCTTTAATAATTTAATTGTTAATTAAAATTGTTTATTTGAAAGAACAAATTGACACCACTCTATCCCACTCCCTAAAGACCACTCTATAAGCATTCACCAAACTGTTAAAAATAATGAAGACATCCTACCCTTGCATCCAAAATAGCAGTGGCCAAACAAGACAAGCATAAAAATCAAAACCTGACTCATTCCCCTGATTATCAAAATTGCCGGTTTGCACAAACCCACTAATCAAATTCTCTTTCTCCCCACTCCCGCCATATCTCTCTCTCTCGAATTCTTTGCTGCCTCATCCACATTCGATGCCCAATTGGCGTCCCCAGTCACAAACAACTCCCCACTTGAATCAGTCCCCATCGCCACTGGAAAATTAGAACAAGTTGCGTAAGCCGCCGACGCCTCCACCGAGCAACACCTCCGCCGAGTCCCACTTCGATCGGTGCTCTATCCGGATACTGAGCGTGACCCTCGCTGCTGCCGCTTTCTGTCGATCTACTATAGACTCTCCCGCTTATGCGCTGATATAGGCTTGTCCTCATCAAATAAGCTCAGCTTTGACATAGCGATGGCGTCGATAGTAAACGAGGTCGCTCAATGGGATCGGCAAGGTCTCTAAGGATTGAAAAGGGATGGATGGATGAACGATTTCATGTTTGGTTGTTGGAAAGAAGGGAAGAGATGGAAAAAATAAGGAAGAGTGTTTCATACCTCTTTTTTTTTATATTTTTCTATTCGCTCAATTTTGAATGAAAATATGAGAGAAAATTAATAATTATCCATAAATATCAATTTCCAAATTTAACATTTTCAAAAAATTGAAATAGATATTCAATCAAACAAAAAATAATAGTAACACGCTTTCCCTTCCCTAGATACCTCCCCCTCTCTTCCATCTATCTTTTTAATCCCTTCAAGGAAAGGAAACATATAAGTATACTGTTTTATACCACACAAGAGAGGGTATTATAGTCTTTTTGTGAGCACAAAACTAGATATTTGCAATCAAAATGCATTAATCATACCCAGTTTTATTACATCAAATCAAATTATAAACTTGAAGAGTAAGTAGATTTCTGAACTAAACTTATCAATCATATGGTATATATATATATTTTATACTGATTTGATATAAAGGAATGATCAAAGCACTTAAAGTCTGATTTCAACATGTAAAAATCAGATTAAATTTCTTTCAAAACAAACAAAGGACAAACAGAGCGATCTAAATTCAGAATTTCAGATCCAATTAGCAACCAAGTAGTAGGTGAAAATCGTTAAATGCGATCCAGATCTGTTAAAGAGAGAGATATTCAAACTGATAGATCTTTATGAATTCAAAATTAAAGAAAAAAATTGGGTTGATTACAATACATTTGTGCATTAAAAATAGAGAGAAAACTGGTCATTCGGTTAAATGCGACTCGACTGTCCAATTAGTACCAATCTGTTTATAAAACTTCCCCACCTATGTGCCACCTGCTATAACTATGAGATAATCACTATCACTGTACTCCTAAGGGCGGACTATTTGATTTGTAATTTTAAAAATAATTATTAAGAATTAATTTTTAAAAAACTGAATTAAGAAGAATTTTTTTAAATAGTTTCTATTTTCAGTTTTTTGACAATAAAAAATTATTTTCTTAATTACAAATAGAGCCACAAATAAATAGAGTTGAGCCAAACTTTGGCTTGCGGCCCGGCCCACCAAGTGTAGAATGGTGCTCGGACTTGACTCGGGCTCGTCCGAGCTTGACTTACGTAAGTTCAAACTTGACTCGTCAATATTTGAACGAGCTCGGCTCGGTTCAAGCTTGCATTTTTGAATTTTTTTTATTAATCATCATCATCTTTACAAACCAATCTACATTATCATCGTCAACTCTATAAACCAGTCTATATTTTTCACCGTCTCGTAACTCCATCAAAAGTAAGGAAAAAAAAGGGTATGAAGAAAAAGATCGTAGTTGAGAGAGATGAAGACATGTCTCAAAGGAGTTATTGTTGGAGCAAATTTATAGCATCAATCACTCGTAGATTAAGTGGATCTGTGATTGAGAGGTCTCCTGTAATCATGGCGTTACCAAATACCAAGCTTACTACCCTAACAGCTAGTCTTGACCAGAGAGACGAGAGAGAGAATGTGAAAGTGGAATGCTGATCTATGATAATCCGTAACTTAGTAAAATTATGGGTTGATAGTTTGATGCTTAAGTTATTAGATTGCCAAGTAACAATGAAGGTGGACACATGTCATTATAAGTACACAGCAAAGAGATTGTAAAGAGATAAGGTTAGGTGACACAATTCTTGTAAGATAAAGGCTTTCAAATTTGATTTGTATATTATTATTTTATTATTTTTTAAAAATAAGTTAATGTATTTTAGTGATGTATATATTTATAAGAGTTTATAATTTACAATTTACAATGTATACGAGCTTTAATTATATGAGCTTGTATTTACGAACGCAAACGAGTCTAAGCTGATTTTATGTTCATGAGCTTATACGAGCTGAGCTCAATACTCTTTGGGTTAGTAAACGAATCTAGAAATTAACTTCAAGCTCGGCTCATTTGTTTAACGAACGAATTCGAACTAAACTTTTGGCGAGTCGAGCCCGAATTATTCATAAATAACTCAGTTCATTTGCAACCCTAATTACAAAGCAAGCAAGTCTTATATTCTTATATTATCATTTTAGTATTTTTAGACGGCATGTTAATTTAAGTAACAAAAGATTATAACAAGGGGAAAAAATGTCGTAATAAAATTTAGGATAAATCATTGTTAGTCCTACTTTGTTGGAAGAGGCATTATTTGAAATGTCATGACAACACAAGAATGCAGCAGAATATTTATCAAAACAAAGAGAGTGAAATTACCTGTTTGTTTTTCTTCCACCTGCTTCTTCTGCTTGCTCTTCTTCTTATAATTATTATATATTCCTTTATATAGTACACAAAGCCTTCGTCTGCGCAAAGTCTTCGTCAAGCAGGGGGCAAGTGCAACTGGCCCAAGCTGGCCCACTAATATATATAGCACACCACGTGGGTGGGCTGTTGTTTGGCATGGAATCCGATGGATGTAATGGTGAGAGAAGGAAAAGTTGTAATAATTTGGGACCCACTTGGACTTTGTTTAGTTTTTGGCACGTTGGTTTTATTTGATTGGAATGAATGAAGACGGATTGTGATATTGTCTGATATCTTTTGAGGGTCCGGTGAGTATTGAGGCCTGTATGAAGTTGGTGGGTTGAGTCGGTGCATTCTCTATATTTATGTTATCTGTCTTGTATCTTGGGTAAGCATTATAGAACGAGATAGAAGAATGAGTTAAGAGAGAGACGAGGAGCCGAGAGTTGCAGAGTGCGCAGCGGAAGTTTGGAGCTTTGATGGTTAAGTGGAAAATTAATCTTTTTTAGCGTAGGGTTCTCTATATCTTGAATGGCATGGAAAGATTTTGTTTTAATATTTTTAATTAAATGCATATGTATTAAATGTATATGTTTATGTTGTGAAGT